GGCGACACTATAGGCTATCTCCACTCCATATGGATCGGCCGATCGAGGGTGAGGCACGGTTGCGTGACGGCAAAAATCAATATCAGCCGGAATACAGTCCATTCTAACTATGTCGCCTTTCTTCTTCAGTTTGACTCTATATCCTTCTGCAAGCTACGCTAAGGCTTTCATAAGTGGGATTCGATCGTTGTGGAACAAGTGCGCCAGCGAGGTGCGTGGTATGAAGGGACTAGAATTTGCCATAATTTCAAACTCATAATTATGATGAGTTTATACGAATTAGAAGTCTGCCCTGTTTTCGTTTAACTTTCTTGAAAGTTTAAAGCAACTTTTGAAGTCACTGATTTCTACGAAAGGAATTGTAAGATGTAAATAAATTCTGACTTACTGGCTTGGCAGGGCTTGGCTTGCTATGGGAATAAAATGTTATAACAAGGGCATAAAATCGACATGAAGGCATTTGAACTTATACCATAAGATTACAATAATTATAACTCAATTCATCCGTTTATCAAAACTGACCTAGCTGGCGCACCTGTTCCACAGTGAGACAACTCCTGAAAATGTCAATTTGCTTCCCAAGGAAGTCAAGCCAAACTCTGAAAATTAAAGCGCTGTGTACCCAGAAGCTGTGCCCAATTGTGTCATCGATACCGCAGCAACCGTGCTGCATCCACCCCCGATCCGCCGACCTGAATCTGAAGTCAATCAATCTTTGTGAAGTACCGAGATAAACTAAAATTCGGTCGATGGAGAGTGCGCGGCGGTTGCGTTGCGGCGCCGCAGTTGAAGACCGATTCGAGTAAGTCCGCTCTATCCCGTCTTGTCGCGCTTTATCCCCAAACTTGGGCTTGCTTTCTTTCTTGGATTGTGCTAGAATTATTAAAGTCGGTAACGAAAGCACCGGAGGGCGTACCGAACAACCAAAATGGCATTGACAACGTGTCGCAGCGCGACAGCATTGCGATCGCCGATCCTTAGGGTGTCTCCACAATTCATAAGGATCGGCCCATCTTATAGAAAGGATCGACCCATCTTATATAAAGGATCGACCGGTCGCGGGTGGCACTATCGCGCTGCGGCGTCGCAGTTA